ACCCGCTCTTTCTCCCGCAGGATGAGCCGGTGCCTCTGGCCTTCTTCGTCCACGATGCCGAGATTGTGGCGTCGCTGGAGAAGACCCTCGCGGGGCAGAGCGTGGAGACGGAGAAGGTGCTGGACATCATCTACCAGCCGCAGGCGGTGTTCCGGGTGCGCGCCGTGACGCGCTGCACCAGCTCCCTCGAGGGGCACACCGAGGCCGTCATCTCCGTGGCCTTCAGCCCCACCGGAAAGTACGAGGGGCTGCCTGAAGGGTGGGGGGGCTCGGGGTGAGGCAGCAGCTGCTCTTTGCCCTCTCCTGAGGACACCGCGCTGAGCCGGGCTCTTCATCCTCTCGCAGGTACCTGGCGAGCGGCTCTGGAGACACCACCGTCCGCTTCTGGGACCTCAGCACGGAGACGCCGCAATTCACGGCCAAAGGTGGGTGTGGGGGTGTCCCCTGTCCCTCAGGGACCCTCTGCCTGCCTGAGGGACGAGCAGAGCAGAGCCTGGTGCTGCCTGAGCTGTGGAGGCAGAACTGTGGCTCAGGGAGGGAAGGGCTCTCTGTGATGAAGTGGAAGAAGAGGGGCTGGCCGGGAGGAGAACAGGGGGGTTCCCCTCGTCTTGTCCTTCCTTGGAGTGGCTTCCTGCTGGGACACTGAGGGTAATCACAGCTCTCCACTCATGCCCACTCGTGCTCTCTCTGCCAGGTCACCGGCACTGGGTGCTCAGCATTGCTTGGTCACCAGATGGCAAGAAACTGGCCTCGGGCTGCAAGAACGGCCAGGTATGTGCTGGCTCCCGCTGCGTGGGGCTGGGGGAGCTTGGGGACCCTCTGCAGGCCCACTCTGGACTGAAACAAAACCTGGGCAAGGGCTGTGGGGGATTAGGGGCGAAGGCTTGTGTCTCCTGGGCTGCGAGGGGTGTATCCAGGTGTTTGGAGCAGGATTGCTGTTCCCCAGAGGAGCTTTGTGTGTGGATACACTGTGATATTGTGAGTAGCGTCTCCAGACTCCTGTGCCAGGCAGAGCTCTGGCTTTGTCACCTTGTGGACCTCTTGTTGCTAGTCCTGCTGTCTTGTGGCAGATGCTTTTCCCTCCATGCAGGAAAGAGTCCAGGCTCTAGATGTGGTCTTTGGCAGACGGTTCCATCACAAGGGAAGTGCCTGGATTGAGAATGGTTATTGCCCAGCCAAGCCAGGGCTGCTGTTAGTGTGACCCAGACAGCAGCCTGTTTCGCAGCATTCTCACACAGACACAGCCAAATTCCCTCTTGTAGGAATGTGAAGGGGGCTCTGCCCTGGCTGTGGGGCAAAATGTGTGTGCCTAAGGTGCAGAAGTGCCTCAGGAAGCGAGATCACTCGGCTAAATGTGAGTCAGGGAGTTGCTGAGCTGCAGAGGGGCAGTGGCTCACTCTGACCCTCGAACAATCTGGGAGCAGTGAGAGCAGCCGTGGAGCTGCCAAGGTTGTGATTCCATCCCCAAGGAAGCAGGCTGGGCCAGGGTGGTTCCGCTGTGGTTTGGTGCTGGTCTGGCTTTAATCGAACCCAGGGAGCTGCTTGTCCTCTATTTCCCTATTTTTCCCAGGTTCTCAAGTAGGAGATGACTAATGCCTTGGCTCTTTAGATGAACATTTATGTAGAGAGAGAATCAACAAGAGAAAACCAGCATGTGTCCCACCCACAGGATCTGATAATAAGCAGCACTTAGCGCGCTGCGGCTTTCGTCGCGCTCTGCAAACACTCACCGAGTCTCTGGCACGGGGTGGCTTTCTGGGGACCTGTATCCGTTCTGAGTTGAGTCAGATAATTTAGTCAGATAATTTGTAGGCAGAGAGGAGGGCAGTCAGCTCTCATTCTTTTGGATGTCAGCTGAGGGCTGCAGGGATCTGGAAAGGCATCCAGCCCCCTTCTCTTGCTGCTCCATGTCTCTGCCAGTGTAAACGGACACCAGGGATACCTGTGCTTCCTAAATGGAGCTCCAGCCTCCCTGGTATTCACATGCTGGCTGTGGCCTGACGCGACCCTCTCGCTTCCTCTCTCGGACAGATATTCCTCTGGGACCCAGCCACGGGCTGCCAGCTCGGCCGGGTGCTGTCTGGCCACTCCAAATGGATCACATGTCTGTGCTGGGAACCGCTCCACATGTAAGTGAAGGGCCAGCCCAGCCCTTCCCCTTGACTCCTGTGGAAAAGAGCAGCCTGACCCGAAGGGCATCGCTCCCTGTTTGCCTTTCTCCTGTTACGGGAAAAAGCGCCTGCAGGAGAAGGGCTCGCAAGGTGGGCTGGGAAAACCGGCTGGGAGAGCCAGGAGCCCCAGCCGTGAAGTCACTGCCAGGCTGTGCCTCTTTTCCCCCTGTGTAAAAGACCTACCTGCCACTGGAAAGCACTGCTTCTGTGGGGCTGGACAAATATTTGGTGTGCTCCTCCTCCATGGCATGTTGAGCAGGGAAGCCTGGAGGTCCCCAAGTGCAGGCTCTGCAGAGCATTCCCTCCTGCTCTCCTGATCCTGCTGGCCTCTGTCATCCTGTTTGTTTATCATGAGGGATGATTAACTGTGCAATCCCCTTATCCCTTCGATCAGCTAAAGCTCCCTCTGGCAGAGGTGGATGGAGGGGGCAGTTATAGCAAATAATCCAGGATGTTATAGCAATAAATAAAAGAGAAAGAAAAAGGGTCCCTTCAGTGCAGAGCCCTGCAAATTGAATTTGCCAGTAGGAAGCTCCAGCTCTTTGCAAACAATTAACTGGATTAGCAAAAAATGATTGTAAAGGAGGATGAGGAAATGGAGAGGGGAGACATGACCCTGTCAGGGCTGCACTGCTCTTTTCAGTCCCAGTGCAGCAGGAGGGGTTCCTCACTGCTGCTCGTGCCACCATGCTGAGTGATGAAGGTGTTGCGCAAAGGACAGAGGGTTGTGTTTCCCCTGTCCTTGAGGGGTTGTGGCCAGCTGCTTCCAGATGTGTTAAATTTGCCCCCCCCGGGCCACGTGGATGGACATTGCTCCTTTCAGTCCTGCCAGCACAGGAGCACTTTGTCCACAGGCTGGAGATAAGCATGGCATAGGCAGGGGAGCATCCAGTGCATTCCCAGTGCCCAGGGAAGGTGCCAGTTTTGGGGTGCCCTCTTAAGCCAGCTGGTTAAAGCTGTGCCCTGTGCAAACAAGGTCATTGCCAAGCGCTCAGGTGCCAGGTTTGCCCTGGATTGATGCCTCCAGTGTGCAGCCCAGGAGTTGGTTTGGAGGAACCATTTGTCTGCCTCTCCCCTGCTTTATGGTACCTTTGTCTCTGTAGGTCAGTGCTCTGCCCCTGCCTGGCCTCTTGTAGGTCTGGAGGCAAAAGAAAGTTGTATTTTACTGACTTCTTGAATCTGCTGGGGGTGATGGAGGAGCTTTGTGTGCTGCACAAAGGATTTGGTCTTCTTTTTCCCCAGAAACCCAGAGTGTCGCTACCTGGCCAGTGCCTCCAAGGATGGCAGCATCCGCATCTGGGACACGCTGATGGGCAGGTGTGACAAAATCCTCACGAGCCACACGCAGTCGGTGACGTGTGTGAAGTGGGGGGGCGATGGTTTGCTCTACTCCTCCTCCCAGGACAGGACCATCAAAGTGTGGAGGAGCAAGGATGTAAGTGAGGCAGCAGCCCTGGGGCTGCTGGCAAAGGGGGCTGGGCACACTGTGGTAGCTTTGTCTGCTCCTCCTGGCACAGCTTGTGCCCTGGAAAACAGAGCTGCAGAGCAGGTGCTGTATCTTCTTGACCTATCAAAACCTGTTGCTTGACAGAGTTTGGAAAGGGTGGCTGTTGTGCAATGTTTTCATCTCTAAGAGCATTAAGTGGGGCTAAAAGCTGGAAACATCCCGGAGGCAACCTGTGCTGGTGGGTGTCCTCAAGGCCCTGTGGGAAACCGATTCCTGAAGCTCAACAGTGCCGTTCCTTCCCTGCTGCAGCCCTGCCTGCAGCTCGGGCAGGAGGGCTGGGAGTGTTCGGTGTTGGTCCTTGCAGCCCGGTGGGTGTGGTGGGTGCTGGGCAGCCTGGCTGTGTGCTGCCCTCCCTGTGTGAGGGGTGGTTGTGTCCCCAGGGCGTGCTGTGCCGCAGCCTGCAGGGCCACGCTCACTGGGTGAACACCATGGCCCTGAGCACCGACTACGTGCTCCGCACCGGGGCCTTCGAACCCGCCGAGGCCACCATCAACCCTCAGGACGTCAGCGGCTCCTGTAAGTGCAGCACCCTCTTGTAGGCTGGGGGAAGGCAGCGGGGAGGATAAAGGGCAGGCCTGATACCGTGTTTGCCATGAGCCAGAGCAACCTTGGGAGCTGGGAGCAGGTCCTGGGCTAGGGTCAGTCGTGCTGACAGCTGTGATCTTCCTCGCCCGTGCCAGGGTTGAGCAGTCTGGGGGATGGGAAGGCCGCTCTGTTTCCAAGGGCTTTTGCTCCCAAACTGCCCTTGGCAAAGAGGAAGTGGGTGAGAAGTCACAAATGCGTCTGCTTGGCCCACGGAGCCAGGACTGGAATTGGCATCACAGGGTTATAAAGTTTCATTTCACCTACAGGTTGCAAATCTCTCTTCCCCTCTCCTTTTCCCTCTCTTAGTGGCAGAACTGAAGGAAAGGGCTCAGCAAAGGTACAACCAAGTCCGGGTGAGTCCCTTTTGTCCCTGCTGCCGTTTCTAACACTGTCACTGGTGGAAGCAGTAAACATGCTCAGTGGGATCTGGACCCCACCACTGGTGTGCTGCCGAGCTCTCCACACCTGGCCCACACAAGACCTGGGCTCTTTCATCCCTTTCTCAGGGCCAGGAACCAGAAAGGCTCGTCTCGGGGTCAGATGATTTCACCCTGTTCCTCTGGAGACCAGCGGAAGACAAGAAGCCGCTGGAGAGAATGACAGGCCACCAGGCACTGATCAACCAAGTCCTCTTCTCGCCAGACACCCGGATAATAGCCAGTGCTTCCTTTGACAAGTCCATAAAGCTCTGGGATGGTAGGACAGGAAAGTGAGTTGTTTAGTTCTGTTGCAGAGGTGATGCTAGTATAGAGTCTGCAGGGGTGGGCTCCACTGTCATTGCCAGCAGCCCCCTGGTGTGCTCAGCATCTCAGCAGCCTGAACTCATGCTCAGTCATTCTGCTGCCTGTGTTTTTTTCCGGGAAGTCCCTTGTCTGGCTCTTCTTGTGTCAGGGGGTCTTCTTGTGCTTGGCTGTGTGTGTGCAGCCCCACTGCCAGCCAGTCACAGCACTGCCTGGCACCTGTGGCACACACAGCCTGCTGCAGGGCGAGTTCTCTGAGCGGCGCTGGGATGGGATGTTCCACTCGGCTGATCTCCTGAAGATGTGTGTGCTGGCCACTGTAGGCTGACCCAGTTTAAACAGTTCCCGTGCCAGAGAACAGCTTGTTCTGGATGATGCAAATCCGTGTAGTTACAAGTGGTGGCTGTTGGTGTTTGGATGCTCCTGGAATCCAGCTTTTAGCCTTCAGCTGGAGTACTGGTGAGCTCTGGGGGCAGCAATCCTTCCCTGCAAAGCTACCTTTATGCTCCTGAGCTTGGCATTCATGGCAGTAATTTTAAAGGTCCCTCTAAATCCAGACTGGATAAGAGTTTCTTGGCAGTCGAGGTGAGATGAAGAGTCATCCTCCAGAAGGTTCTGAGCCCACCTGAGAGGGTTTTTAGACGGCCTGAGCAACCCGTGGACTCTGTCTCGCAGTTGACCGCCTGGGGTGCGCTGAGCATCCTGTGACTGTGCCGGTTTGCTCACAGGTGGAGAAGAAAGGGGAAGACAAAGGGCAGGTTTGGAACAAGCCCTGCTGCTCTAACAGCTTGTGCTGATCCCCAGGTACCTGACGTCGCTGCGGGGCCACGTCTCAGCCGTGTACCAGATCGCCTGGTCGGCCGACAGCCGCTTGCTGGTGAGCGGCAGCAGCGACAGCACCCTCAAGGTCTGGGATGCCAAGACCAAGAAACTGGCCGTCGATCTTCCTGGCCACGCAGATGAGGTGAGGTGTTGGGTTGAGCCGAGGTGTTTGAGGGAGGCAGGAGTGGCTCCTTCTCCCAGCAGAACTGACTGTCCTTTCTGTAACACCAGGTGTATGCGACGGATTGGAGCCCGGATGGACAGAGGGTGGCGAGTGGAGGGAAGGATAAGTGTTTGAGGATGTAAGTAACCTGTTGTCTGTCCATAGAGGATGTTGCAGCTACTCCCTGTGTCCCTCAGAGCCACAGGCTCCTTGCAGAGACCTGCATGGTTAGGGCATGATCTGTCCTTGCAGAGAGGACAGCGCTGGGTCACGCTCCAACTTGGAGATCTGATCTCCCTCAGGGCAGGCTCGGCTGCTGTCCCTGGGAGATGACTCGAAAGCAGAGTCCCTCCAGCTGGGCAGTCAGGGTGAAATTTGACTCAGATGTTTTGGCTCCTGGAGAGGGGAAAGAACGCTTGTACCAGTTGGTCAGACCTTCATTTCTCACCTTGCTCCCTCTCCTAGTTATGCAGACGGGCAAATTCCTGTGAGCTGGTTGCTATTTGACCGTGGCTGGTGCCCCCAGTGCCTGGGCCCTGCTGTGCTGCTCTCATATGGTGCCTGCTGGGCCCAAGCACAGGGACAAAGCAGCTCTTCCTTGTCATCATTTGCAGATGGCGTTGATAGGAGCACAGACACGGAGCTGCCGGTCCTGTCCTCGGCACAACGTGCCTGGAAGATCTCCAGGGGGATGGACGACGGAGGCCGACCCGAGCACGACTCCCTGTTCCTGTTGGCTGCTCTCCCTCGTGGACTCTTTCCTTATATTTATTTAAGGAAATTTTAATTCTAGTTCTTATTAAGAGCTGTGCTTTGCAGGATGATTTCCTCTGAACGTTACAGGAGGGAATATCTCATCTGCCTCTGTCTCAACTGGCTTTTTATTGGAATTTCAGCCTCAGAGTAGCCCTCTGCCTTGAGGGGCAAGATGGCTCTTGCCCTTTCTTGCTGCGTGAAGAATCCTGCAGAGAAGAGGGTTTTAGTGGGAACTGAAAGGGTTGTCCTTGTGTGACCTTCAGAGAGAGAGAAATGGGAAAATTCAGCACATCAATTACATTGCAGAATTGTGCTTGGCATTATCTGTGGATCCTCTGCATCCACAAAGGATAAATCCTTCACTTGTCTGTTCAGGGCCCAATGTGCATGGACTTCAGATGACTGTGGGAGCTGTGCAGAGTTTTCAGGTCTCAGCAGCTCTTGAAAATGGGGAAATGAGACACTTGTGCCTCTGAAGAGGGGAGGGAGCATCCATTTCCCACCCACCACTGGCTCGGGGGGGGAAGGAAAAGAGTAGGGTGGGGAAGGGGGAGAACGGAGCTGGCATTTGGGGTGGTGGTTGTCCCTTGCCCTGGATACGTGCTGACAGCAGGGCCGGGACTGTCACACTGAGTGGCAAAACTTCCATTGCACAGAGCTGGCTCCTTCTGGAATTTCTCAAGTGCATTTACTTGCCCAGTGGGTGAGAGGGATTCACACTGTCAGTTGTGTATTTCCAAACTTGCTTATGAGCCTTTTTCTAAGTCAGCTCAGGCTTCCAGCCATCATGAGACGAATAAACCTGGATTTACTGTTTATTTCCAGGATGCTTATGAAACAGTGAAAATCAGGATGTGATTACTAAGGAGCAGACAATTATATTGTCAAATTTAGTTGCAGGAGGTTAATATGAAGGTCAAAACATTCTCCATAGCCCTCATACTGCAGTTGCTTCTCAGTGATTACAACAGCTCAGAATGGGAGTTTGGGTCTCAAGTGCTTCCCAGCTGCAGAAGATGCATTTTAGGACTTTATTCCTGCTGGCTGGATTGCTTTGGAGAATTAAGAGGGGATGGTGCAGTAATGGCCATTTGCTTGTCTGCAAATGCTGAGGGGAGAAAAAGACTGGAACAAAGGATCAGATCTTTGATATGACTGAGAAGACAACTTGTGGTTCCTGTTCTTAGTTTCTCTTTTTGCCAGCAAAGTCAGCAGGCTCTGTCTTTGTGGGATCTTTTGGGAAGACCTCAGTATCCTATACCTTCTCTTTCATTACTGTGCTTCTTCCAGATGGTTCTTACTGACAGTGAAGGCCACATTGCATCCATTCTGCATGAGCAAAACCTTTTGGGAAAGAGAGGAGCAGGTCTTTGGCAATGGCCAAGAAGCCTGCCTGTTTAGAAAGTTTTCAGCTCTATGTCCCTAGGTCTGAGTTGCTGAAAGCAGCAGCTCCTGGTGTGGCTCTTTCCAGAGGAACAAGCATCGTTCTCTGCTTCCTCCCCTGAGGTGCTGCACGGGGTCACTGTGCCCTGTCAGTGCAGGGTGTGTCTTGTGCTGGAAGCAGGGATGTGTTGGAGCTGAGGGAGGCAATTCTGCCTGTGGGAACTGGCTTGGCTGTGCGTGTGTGTAGGTGTACCTAAAATAAATCAGTGTGCCTTGTCCCCTGATTTCCAAACCGAAGCAATTGCTGTGCCCTCCTGCCATCCCTTCAGACTCTGCTCCTGTGACATTTGGCACCAAACAGAGCCTGATTAAAAACCCACCCTCCTAATGCTGGAGCAGAAAGGTTTTCCAAAGAGAAGTGAGACCTCTTGAAGAAAAGAGAGGGCCTTGCAACTAAGTGTACACCAAAATAAGCTCTCTTGGCCTTAATCTTCCTCTGATCTGATAGCGGGTAGATTTTTGAACCACACTCAGTTATGGGTTTGCATGTAAACCAAAGTGTATTTTCTCATCCGAGCATCTGCTGCTATTTTTATCATCCATACAGCACCAGCCTTCATACATGCTCAGTGCTGGCCCCACTCCAGCTGTATTCCTGAGCAATTCCGTAACACTCCTCCCAGTTCCCTTTGAATGCAGCATTTCCCGGGCCTGGCTCTGCAGTCTCCTGCCTGGAGAGCTGCTGCCCTTCCCTTCACTTCCCTTCCCTTCGGAGCCAGCTCCTTCCTGGCAGGAGTCGCAGCGGGCGCGTGACCTCCCTCGCTCCGCCGGCGCTGGGCACGGGAGCTTTAATGAGCCAATTTTGGGAATTGCAGATGCAAATTGGGGCCTGATGGTGTTATTACTGATGGTGTTACTTGTTGTTGAAAGGACAAATCTGGAAGGTAAGGCTGGAGCTTTCTGATTGCTGTTCTGGGGACGGCAGCGCTCACCTTACAGAGAGCCTGCTGAAACAGGGGAGCTTTTCCAGAGCTGTGGGAAAGGAATCTCAGGATCTGCTCCTGTGTTTCAGTCCAAGTTCCTCCTGAGTTACTTGTTAAACATCCCACACGGGTTTTCCTACCACAAGGTCATTATTTTTCCCTGGTAATACAGTAATAATTTTGAGCATATCCAGAAACTGTCCCACAGAGCCCCTGACATGTTCTCCTCTAAAAGCTGTGATGCCACCATTAATTTTGTTACAAATCCCCAGTGGGAGGACAGTGATGGTAAGGACTGGGAAGCGTGCCAGTCCTCTGAGAAAGGTTTACCTGTCCAATAAATTCCTGCGGATGATGGAGGGAAGGAAGGGGTATGATAAGAACACCTAGAGTGAAGTAAATAATTTGGGATAGCATTGAGGCCAACAGAATGGTGCCAGACTCCTGCCCTTTGGAGGATGATTTAGATAAGTGAGGCCTTAGAATCCACATGAAAACTGTTCTTGGGGGTGTGTGTCCTGTTTATCCATGCAGGAGGGCTGGCAAGTGGTATGTGTGTGTGTGTTGTGCTTCCTGGGTTCTGGGTCCTTGGAGCCACACGTTGCTTTTCAGCTCGACTCAGATGATCTCTTGAACATTTTCCCAGATCTGTAATTTAATTTCCATGTGCATGTTTATAGCCTGGGGAGAGACACAAGAAAAATCTTTCAACAAATAGGAAGAAAATGATCTTCCTTCATTGTTCTGCACGAAAAGGAGCTTCTCTCAGCTTTTTTTGGGTCAGCCCAGGCATTGTTCAGATGATGTTTCTACCTCCAGGCTGCATTTTGGTGGTGTGGCAGAAAATGGCTTGCTGTGAAGACCATTAATGCTTTTGAGGATGAGAGGTGCTATGGAAACTCAGGACAGTGATGTCTGTGTTTTGGGGAGCTGCTACCAGATGAAAATGCACTTCTCTGCACTCAGGCAACCTGGAAGGTGCTAATTCCTTCCTTGATGTGCTGCTCAAGAGCCCTGGCTCACACCTGAGGATCTAATTGGCTGAACCGATGTAGTGCAGCTGGAAAGGAGCCACAAAACCATCTCTAGTGCTGCTCTTCTGTTTTCTCCACTCTGACTCTGTAAATCAGTGGTCCAGTGGTCTCTGTCAGGGGGCTGAAGCTCTTACAGAGTGTGGTATTAAAAATGAGCAAACTCAGGGCACAGTGTGCTGTTGAAGGTTGATTACACATGGTACTGGTGCCCACTGCCTGGCGGTGCTTTTGGAGCACGCTGGGTGTTTTATTGTCCTGCCACTTGGCTGTCAGGGCAGTGCACCCCCCCGGGGGCTGCAGGGCTGCTGAAATGCTGAATATCCATGTTGAATATCCATGTGCATTCCTTGAGGAAGGAGCAGCATGAACCCCAGGGGGTTATCCTGTGTTGCTGTCCCAGTGTCTCCTGTAACGAGGCTCCCTTGGGTAAGGGTGGGCGAATTCAGTCCAGTTCTGCTTCTGACCCCTTTCAGCAGCAAAAGCAAGTGAAGGTGCTGTTTGTAAATAGGTTTATTGTGCTCTGGGCGCTGGAGATGTCGGCATCCCAAAACTCTCCTGGACACCAATCAAGGCTGCAGCTCCAAGGAGTGACCCGCATGCAAATCCCGCAGCCTCCTGAGCGCCGTTCCAGAGCTCAGCCCTCGGATCCCAGAGCAGCGTGTTTAGTTATTCCAGTCAAACCTCCCTGCTGCTCCTGGCTGTTTGTCCTTGCTGTGCTGAATCAAACCTGCTCCAGGGCTCCAGCCCCCTTACGAGGACAAAAGGACATCGGGCAGCGCTGCTGCCGAAGGGAGATGTGTCTGGGTTTGGAAGTGGGATGCAGAATGGGTGGCTTAGGAATTCCTGTGGTGGCATTCTCTGTTCAAAAGGCATCTTCTGAGTGAATTATTTATTTATTTATTTATTTATTTATTTAAGCTTCCCTAAAATGTAGCTGGTGACATTGACTTTGGGGTGAGGATACGTGCTGATGCTGAGAGGATTAATACTGAATGTGAGACTCTGTGGATGGCAATAAATAACCAGTTCTCGGGGAAATTATTTTCTGAATCAGAATATTTAACACATGGAAGCTTGTGGGCTTTTTCCTGGTTTAAAGGGGCACTGTGGAGCGTACTAGAAAGTGTCTGTTACTACCAACACCTCAATTTATTATTAACTTGGAATATTTTTACATCTCATTTATTCCTTACATGGGGGTGTTCCGAGCTGTTGAAATTATTGGTCAGCTTTGCTTTCTCAGTGTTGCTTGTTGGGGTAGTGCCATGGATGGATTTTGGATGGGAGCTCAAAACTTCAGCAAGTAAAGGACGGGGATTCAGCCTGGAACGGTTTTAAAGCCCTTTGGTTCTCTTTGGCACAAAATCAGATTTCTTAGGATTCCTCTGATATTATGATTTAGACATATGATGTCTAAAGCTTAAAGTGTCCTTCACAAAGCTGTCTGTCTTCCCTTGATAACCTCTTGCTGAATATTTTTTTAATCTAAGTGCATTTTCTTTGGGGAAGTCTTTAGCTGCGGAGGTTCTGGCATGGCACATGGCCCCAGTAGTGCCTGGGTTTGAGTGCTGAGAAAGTGAAGGGAGATAAGTGAAGAATGGGGAGAGGCCCAACTGCGTAAATCCTCGCTCGGTCTCTATTTTGATCTGGTGACACTGAAAGCAGAGCCCGTGTCACGTGGGGGAAGGCACAGCACAGCCGTGCGGGGTCAGAGCTCTGCCCCTGTGACCCCAGCGCACCCCTGGCATCCACTGGGGCCCAGGGGGAGCACTGGGAGGCCTGAGAGAGCCTAAACTGGGATGTGGAGGTGGGGTGATGGTGATCACAGATAAAGAGGAAGGGGGGAGAGCAATGAGGAATGAACGCAGAGGAAAGGAGCATAATTATGTAAACCTGGAGGTGAAGGTCAAAGGCTCCATGTGACTGCTG